CCTACCTACCGTCCTTACCCTACCACCTTACTACCTACTATTCTACTACCTACCTACCTACCTACCTACCTACCTACCTACCTAACCTTACCACCTACCTGACCTACCTACCTACCTACCTACCTACCCTACCTACCTACCTACCTACCTACCTACCTACCTACCTTACCTACCTACCTATATACCTACCTACCATATATAGCCTTACCTACCTACCTGCCTGCCCCTACTTACCACCTACCTACTACTACTACCTACCAACCTACCTACCTACCTACCCCCACCATCCTCACACGCCTACCCACCATTTTTTTCTTTATCTATCTATCTATCTAATTCTATCTATCTATCTATCTATCTCATCTATCTATCTGTTCTATCTATCTATCTATCTATCATAGCTAATCTATCTATATCTAGCTATTATCTATTTAATCTATACTATCATATCTAATCTATCTATCTATCTACTTATCTATCTTCTATCTATCTTTCTTATCTCATCTATCTATCTATCTTATCTATTCTATTCTATCTATCTACTCTATCTATCTATCGTTATGTATCTATCTTAATCGACTCTATCTATCTAGTCTATCGTACGTCTATCTATCTATCTATCTATCTATCTAGCTATCTATCTATTTATCTATCTATCTATCTATCTATCTATCTATCTATCTATCTATCTATCTATCTATCTATCTATCTATCTATCTATCTATGTATTTACCCATCCATCTATCTATCTATCTATTTATATACATCTATATCTATCTATTTCGCTCTCCACAGCGAACAACTACAAACAATGGCGCAGGAGTCGACGAGTCAGTCGCCTTGCCTGGCTTATGGCCAGTACGAGGTTTCTGACGTATACAATTGCACTGTGTTTTTCGAGCGCGTTGTCACATCTGCAGAGCAAACATGAAACAGGTTCCTCTCTGAAATAACATGCCATCGGGGGAAGCAACAAAGAACTTCTCAATCCCTCCCGCACTGTTCGAACCTGGAAGAGCTTACTATAGCTATAAGTACTTCACATCTCCCAGGAATAAACAACCTGATTGATATCGGCCGTACAGTACGCGGCATAGTATGAAGACCTCTTAATAATACTAGTAATATGTATATAACTGTATAACTAGTACATAGTCTAAAACATAATATACTGCTTTGGGGATCGTTTTATATCCGTTTACGCAGTGAACTATCAGCAGGTAACTTGTGTTTTCATATTTTCCCATCAGCGAGGGTAAAGGGCATGCGATACCGCTATATACCCACCTAATCCTTTTTATTGCACCCAGATAAAACGCAAGTGCTACTGGGCACCACCTGAGGTTGAGGCTTGCCGGTATTCTAATGCGAGCGCTCACAAGGGTATTCTCAATATTAGCTCAACTTTGCACAGGCCCACTTTTCTGGTACATGTATATTTGCTCCGTGGTTTATTGAACGCATATAATATTTGTAAACTTGATAGATGAGAAAAACTAGGGTGGGTCGACGTCTCGGTGTGATTAACTTCATACATTCATGACACGTATATTGTACACTACAATCCGGGTATACGTTCGTAACCATAAGTACATCGTAGAAAAACGCATAGACCGTAGCATCGTAGAATGCCTAGACAGATTCCAGTGCAGCTTAGCGGTTACATGTCGACTTCAATGGCAAACATCTTGTGTGATATCCTTAGAGTAAACGCCATCTGTCTGTGGACCAAACTGGACCCACTTATCATATTATCTTTTTCGTAATTACACTTAGTAGAACGACAATATTTGTCTTTAGAGTAATATTTCTAACCCTGCCGAGACCAAGCTGTCAATATGAGGCATATTCAAACGGGATCGTAGTTGCCAACGTGTGATTTAGATTAACTAGTACATGTTTTCGCCTGGGATATTACACGTGAGAGTGTTGCGAAGTAAACGAAAACGTCCGAGCTGCGACGGTGACGGATGAATAATGCATTTGCGAGTAACGTGTTTACGCAGTCGCACTGTTATTAGATAAACGCACGGGTGACTTATTCCACCGGAATAATTCTTCGGGGTTGGGGGGGGGGAAGTGAGCTTTCCGTGATATCGCGGAATGCTTTGATCCGCATTGCTTCTCTGGGGTTCTCATGCGGAATGTTTCCACTAAATACTTTCCCAACGTCGCCCGTCCCTACTTGTTTCTGTTGCTTGGAGTCGGTCTGTTTACTGCTTTTTATTCTTATTTTTTCATATTATGATTGTAAATTTTTCTTCTTCTGTCTTATTGTCTCTTGCACAGTGTCTGTTACGCACACCGCAGGTACAAACGCGCGTACGTGCACACGCGCGCATGCACACATATGCAAACGGACGCGCGCACACCTCACGTCCACCCCCGCTTTCTCAGCCTCCCCGCATCTCGTTCGCCGTGCCACTCACTCTATGTCTTTTGTTTCGGTCACGTATCTCACTTTATACATACACACACCACATACATACACGCACACCACACACACGTACACATACACACCACATACATACACGCACACCACACACACGTACACACACACACACACACACACACACACACACACACACACACACACACGCGCACAGACGTGCACGCACGCATCCATGCATTGAGATGTTCAGAATTTTCACACGCAAAGTTGCTTTCTGGCCTTCATGCTTTTGTTTTATGCTTCCAAATTTGTGTAGTAATTTACTTGAAGCACTTGCAACACTGATAGTGTAGTGATACTTTATCAAATACTACCAGCAGTAGCAGTAGCCGCTTGTTGTAGTGCTATTACAGTGGCGGATCCAGGATTTACAGATAGCGGGAGTGCGGATTTTGTGATAGCGCCTGTGTGCACTCTTCGTGTACCGAATAGAAGGGGGGGGGGTGCGCCTCTTACGCCCCCCCACCTTGGATCCACCACTGTATTAGTATTAGCACCACATCTAATAGCTCACTACTCTAGTACAATAGCCCTTGTTGGCTCTGCTGCAAGTGTGTGCACACCTGCTGTAGATCCAACAGTAGCTTTGCCAGTGTAGCCCCTTTGCTCCCAGTGGCGGAAGTGAATGAGCTATATAGTGGTAGAGTTGAGCCAACAGTTGCCATTACAATGATACAATTATGGTAAATAAATAATGATTACCAGATAATATTCACCACAAAAGTTAATGCACTCTGTACTACCTACTGTTTCTATTGCTCACAAGGAGATGCTATGCTCCTCAGCGTATAATCTCGATGCATGCGTACTAGTGAGTAGTTTAAGCGTACAAAGATAGGGAGCAGATAGATAAATCATGGGACTCACATTGTTTGTGTATCTGCACAGTTGTGTGCAATCATTAAGTGACATTGTTAATTGAATTGTATAGGAACATTTGAGCAGCATTCAATATTAGGGTTATCAGGTCATACAGAATATATAATCATTAAAGGGATACATGACCCTCGTTACAAATATAATTGCACTTTTGTGATTAGCCCTCGGTCTGTAATGCAAAAAATATATCAGAAAAAGCTCAACTTCGTTAGGGTGTCAGCACAATTGCGAGGTGGCATGTCACTGTCAGCGGCCAAAATTTAACATTTCAACAAATTTTATGACGTGAATGAATGATTATAGAAATTATCAATTTACTACTATTATTTATGTACTTACTATCATAATAAACCCTAAAATTCTAGGGTGTAGTATCCCTTTAAAGTCTTAGTCATTAATATAATAAATTTATCATTATTTATTATGTATATCATCTAATTTATTAGTGGAATGGTCTAATTGCTTGCGCTTTGGTCCACTGCAGCCTGTAGCAGAGCAAAGTGCTATATATAGGTAGAGCTATCAAGAATAGTCATGCATGATAAAATGTAATAACAGTCTAATATATTTTACTGGAACTTAGCAAAGCTTTTCAGATACATTACCAATACATTTGTACTGCATTTATAAATAACCTATTATATATTTTACATGATATGAAATTATGAACTTACAATAGAAATTTATAGCATTAAATTAGAAAAGGGATTCAAGTTACCATTGCTAGCAATTCAATTGATAAATGTAGTAAGTTAACTTAATAGTACAATTACGTTAATTCAATTTGGGCCTTATATTGTTTCAAAGCAACTGGTAATAATTTTGTGGATCCTGGTTATACTGAGATTCATTTGCTCTCCATTCAGTAATGACAGTATTTGTACTTTTAGATGGCACCTAAATACAATCATCTAAGCTGAAATGATGCGTGGATTACATTATACCATTCTCTTCCGACAACCTCGATTGCGTAACTGCAACGTGATCTCACCGCTGATGCTGCCTATCCGCTCTGCGTCTGGATCTCAGAAAAGCATCACTGTGTGGGAACCTAGTAGGAAGAGCAGTAAGCGATATGAGGTCAGTGGGGGCAAACCTATGACAAAACTAGAACATATGAAGCATGGATTTCAAGTTTTAAAAGATGAAATCGTTTCATGGAAAGAAGAGCAGATGGAGCGACTTAGATGTGACCCATTGGCTAGTTTCCAACATGGTGATTATGAGACGATATGGAAGTTCAATTCACTAGATCCAATAAACAAGTGGATTGTTTCAACTGATAAAGATCACAACATTGGTAAGACAGAAGCCAAACTTGAACTAAGTCCAGGAAGAAAGGCCCTTTTCCATGGGCTCTTGAACACGGAGCCACCGAAGGATGGGTACCATGCAAAATCAGGATTTGCCAACATTATGTCGCGTAGAGCAAGTGTAAGTATTTTAACGTAATATAGTTGACAAGGTTCATATACACATAACATGTTGGAAGCACTATATCTTATTATATGCTTGAGTTCAAACATATATATACATTTAATTTACATCAAACGTGACTGTAATCTGTATTAAGAATATGATAAGCATAGAAATTCAGCTGGATATCGAATACATTATGATTAGGATAACATTGAAGGACGCGATGTCTGGTTTTGTTTCGCACTTTAACATTTGAAGCAGAAATTCCTCTAGATTGACTCATATATGCCCGAGGAAAGGCAATTAATCGCATTCAGTTCCAGTTTACGTGCGCATTTGCTGGCCTACTCGCTCCGTTGATCTCCCCCCCTACACTCTATTTCCCTTCACCAGTAGATAAAGTGTAAGCCGGTACTACAGCGATGCCGACAGACAGATATACAGATAGAGAGATAAGCTCGAACTAGATGACTCGTGTCTGATGTGCCATCTCTTGCATTTTCTCGTGTCTTCTTGTGTGTGGGGGAATAAGTCGATTCGAGTTTACATGGTTTATAGCGCTGGAAACGCCTGTGGGTGAAAGGAACCGGCTTCCGCTGAGCCGGACCTCTTCACACTCGACACGTGCTCACGGGTTGGAAAAGTGGGAGCCCGCGCTGTTTGTCAGTTGCGTCATCGTGACGTCTCGTAAAACATCTGGTGCCTTGCGGTTATTTTCACGTGTTGTGGCGAGGAGACCCCCGCGTTAGTGGACGCCTCTACAGAACGGACACCTGGCTATAGCGGTCAGTCGTGACGTTTTCTTTGAGTGGCAGTTACACAGTGAGATATCAGCTCTTTAGAACAGGTAGATGCGTATGGAAGATTCCGTTTGGAGACTCCGATGAGAGACCCTTATACAAGGTTTTGTCATGTCAAGATATATGATATACGTTACTGTATACGTTATATATGAGGGTTGTCTGGTGTTGGAATTCATAGTCTGTTGAGTGAAAGAACAGAGCTGTTATGTAACGAGTTCAGTCTAGCCTACTGCAGAGTCGTTCTCACTAGGTATGTATATCGTACACACATTCTCACACATCCACGCGCGATGGCAGTCCCTAAGAAAATGAAGAAAGTGTAGACAGCTAGTGTTTTCGGCACGTGATTACATTCCTATGATTTTAATTATTACACCGAGTATACGATTATGTCGATTAAAATTTCTGCTCGAGCATCGTGTATTTTATTTGACGCTGGATCGCGGGATTCTGGGGCTCGTTCTCAGAAACCAAATTAGTCTTAACATGAGTCTTAACATTAACTTCCACTCGTAGACCGTTGACAGAACTATCGTAAAGTTACGAGCACGAAAAATCCTCGCAAATCTCCTCTTAACATTACGAGATACCCTTGCATGTTCTCTCGTACGCGGCGCGTTGTATACGAGTTGTATACGACTGCGGCAGGGCAGCAGTTTGCTTTGATATCTTTACTTCGGAAATCTAACAGTAAGAATAATAATAGTAAACGCTCTCCGCATGCCGAGACTCTGACGGGAGGCGGTCCGCCGCACGTGACGGGAATTTCAATGTTGTTTTGATCGCGCGATCGCCGATAACGAAAACCATCGTGGTTTGTCTGTCGCGATCCCCAGCAGACGATACTACCCTCGCGACTGCTAGAGGCATGTCCGCCATGATGCGCAAAATAAACACGGTCGCTCGCGAAGCCGGAATTCAACGCAGTAATTAATGCTACGTCGACAAGTGGCCTGCAGATGAGAGCGGAATCGTAACACTGCTTCCCTTGTCGAGTGTGGCCCGACGCGGCACATGCCGCATTATTTGTTTCGAATCGCCAGATGAGCGCTGACGTGCGCGCAGGAAGTGCTTTCAAATTTTAAAGTTTTTTTTTAAGTGGTGGTTACCGATTTATTACCCTGCAGAGGGTACCTGTTCACAAATAATTATTTCGCAAGCAATCAAATTCGTTGAAATTCAAGTTGTCTTGCAGTGGTTTGCTTTGTCGTGAAGCCAATACGGCTTTACGGTCCACAGAAACAGAATTTCCAGATAACTAATATTAGGAGGATAATGTGGTGGGTGGTGTGAGAGTAACTAGTACAATATGTGAATATTCAGGAGGCTGAAAAGAAAGCTTTTCCGATGTTAGGTTTGCTGCTAGAGTAGACATGCTGGGCGAACGTGCTCACGGTACATTACAGCTAGTTGTTACCATTGTTAGTCACATACACGAGGGGAAAGAAAATGAAGTGACGAACAAAATCTCTCTCGCGCTCGCTCTCTGCTCGTTCCCTCGATCTTCAGAAGAATAGGTCACCTAATTTAGCCATATTCTTGCTACGTTCATTTCAATAGTTTTTCCTGCCTAGACCCTTAAACTCGTCCAGCAAGCTTATGGATTTGAATTATGAGTGTTTTAAAAAAAAAGACAACTTGGCCAAAAAAAGTGTAGGCCCAGGCCTACAGTGCTACATACTGGCTACGCCCCTGGCGAGGTACGGTCCGGCATATTAGATAGTACCAAGAGTAGATAATAACACATGTGAGATTATCTACTCTTGATAGTACCAAGGTACGTTCCGGCAGTACCCTGGGGGAGATAGACCCTCTCAGCGTTACTGTGCGTAGTGCTGATAGGGTCTATGTCCCCCAGGGTACTGCCGGAACACAGGCACTTGGAATGTCTCAATAAAAAAAAGAAGGTAAATAAACACGAAATGTACCAAAGTCTTAATGTTTCTCTACTCTATTTTGCCTATAATCACCTGTAAATGCCGGTCAAATGCTCATCTGCAACACACAAGTACACCGAACGCCCGCCCGCGCTGTGCTGCGTGCACAAACAACATGAATAAGAGAGCAGGTAGGAAAGCGTGTTCGCGAAATTTGCTCAACGCTCGCTTTATTTCCCACCTTCACAGCACAAATACACATCCAACCGCTTCCATCTTGGTATCTATGTGTACATAAATGTTCACTTGTTTGAATTATAACTCTGCCCTTTGTCCTTACCTACTCCCGCCAGAGATATCTCGTGAGTTCTCTCCGAGAAAATGTAGAGGACGACATGATCAGAAAACCCCTAACGGCGCTACTTTCGATCGATCGCTGTAGTCGTGTGCGCGTGACGTCATGCCCGCGCGCATTGTGCTTGGCTTGGCGGTCCTCAAAACGGAGCTTGGAGGCCGGCAGCAGCTCATTCTGGCATGCAATGTGCCCCATTACTCGTGTATAAACAGTCATCTCGTCCTCTTTACCTTTTCACGGAGAGAAAATTTCCTGCAGGATTTCACGAGATATCTCTGGCGGGAGTAGGTAAGGACAAAGGGCAGAGTTATAATTCGAACAAGTGAACATTTATGTACACATAGATACCAAGGTGGAAGCGGTTGGATGTGTATTTGTGCTGTGAAGATGTGAAATGAAGCGAGCGTTGAGCGAATTTCGCGATCACGCTTTCCTACCTGCTCTCTTATTCATGTTGTTTGTGCACGCAGCACAGCGCGGGTGGGCGTTCGGTGTACTTGTGTGTTGCAGATGAGCATTTGACCGGCATTTACAGGTGATTATAGGCGAAATAGAGTAGAGAAACATTAAGACTTTGGTACATTTCGTGTTTGTTTACCTTTTTTTTTTTATTGAGACGTTCCAAGTGCCTGTGTGCCGAAACGTAGGACCTACCCTGGGTACGGTCTGGTATACCGGAACGTACCCTGGTACTAAATACTACTATCTAATATGCCGGACCGTACCTCGCCTACTCCACTAATGAGTCTAGGGAGTCGCCTACGCCTACTTCCTAACCCTAACCCTAACCCTAAACCGACCAGGCTCTCCGACTGTTACACGTCATAGGAACGTAGTGTTAAGCGAGAAGGGAACTTGTGACTAACCCTAACCCTAACTCTAACCCTAACACTAACCCTAACCATATCAGCTAGATAGTTACCAGGGTATGTTCTGGCAGTACCCAGGGAGACATAGACCTTATCTGCGCTATTATTAGTCGCTCCCTTAGTCGATATTACTATTAGTATTATTGCCTATATTATAATTAATATATTTCTATAATCGAATGGTAGGTTTGTGCCGCGGTTATGACCGCCCTCTTCACCTCAAAATTTCGGCTCAGAGACGCAGACGAAGACCCCCCTTTTTTGCATACTTCAATCCTGTTTCGGAGCATAGGTCCTACATTTGTCCGCACCGGAGACCCCCTTTTTCCATATTTCCTGTCCCGTGGGCCGTAGCATAGGTCCTACTTTTTTCCGCACGTTCCAGAGACCTTCCTTTTCACACATTTCCCCTCCCGCAGCATAGGTCCTATACTTTTTCCGGCATGCGTCTAAACAGAGGAATTGCTCCGACCTGTGATTGGAGGATAAAAATAGAATTCGTGACGTTTCGTTTTCATTTTGCATACCCCGCCGCATTAGATCTAGTACTGGCGCCTGCGGCGGAGTGAAGGGCTAGTACTAGAGCAACCCACCGCATACGCTATGACCGGTAGGAAAGTGTACTAACTATCATATTGTGGTGGCAAGATAGCGGTCAGTGGCGTGATGGCGTCGCTTACCGACCGTGAATTGGCAAAACGCGATGTAGTTCGCGATGCTGGGCATTTTCTATCCAAAATATCAATAAAACCACTCCCATCACTAACATTCCTTGTTTTCATTAGTCATTACACTGTGTCATATACTCCGGATCTGTTAATATAATAAAGAATGAATAAAAAGAATGTTTTCAATCACTCCTGATAGAATTAATAAGGTACTAATTATGTGAATGATTGAATAATTTCATCGGATCTCTATAGTTCACATGCTAATAAAGTTTATCTAAGTTAGATTCAAATTAAGTTAAACATAACTTACACTGACTTAAATTTTTGTCCATCTCTTTGATAGATTTCCTCAGGTCTGATGTTTCCAGGTAGATGGCAGTACTGAAAACGGAAGTTTGAACGTGGTCCTCGGAATATAGATCTCTCCGGCGAACAGTTAAAAAAAGTGGGTAATCAATTTATCTAAACGTCCGCTCGAAAAAGCGGAGATGTCAGTTCTTGCTAAAGGCTTGAACTTCGCTGTTACGTCTCTGGTTCACCCGATAGAAAACTTCATTATAGCAGCGGAGGAAGCTTGCAAACTGGTCCCTCCTCAGGTAGCTAACGAACTGAGGCCTAAGTTATGCAGCAGCATCATCAGCTCAGCTAAGCCTCCTACCCCCAATATCAGTAAGGATGAAGCCATAGCTTTGAAGACACTAGCTAAAGAGGACAACATTCTGATTATGCCGGCAGACAAAGGCAGAGCCTCGGTAGTCCTGAATAAGGCAGAGTACACTCAGAAAGTAACCGATATGTTATCAGAGGAAAAAACATCTCAAACTCAACAAGGACTGCACGTCTCACTACAAGAACAAACTGGTTCACATGTTAGCCAGGTTACGTAAGGATGAAAAAATTAGTGCGTCACAAAAGAGATACCTCTACACCCCCATCCCACGTTTATATTGCACGCCCAAAATCCATAAACCAGGCAACCCTTTACGGCCTATCGTGGACTATACTGGGTCCATAGGCTATAACCTGTCCCGCAGTTTGGCGGACTTATTATCACCGATTGTTGGCAAAACTATACACCATGTAAAAAATTCCAAGGATATAGTCACTAAGCGGAAGGAACTAAAACTACGAGACTATGAAACGTTAGTGTCATTCAACGTCGTCTCTCTATTTACCAACACACCAATCAATAAAGCCCTCGAGGTGATCCGGAAGAAATTGGAAGATGACACCACCTTGAAGAAGAGAACTCTACTTGACACTACACTACACTGTAGACGACATAATGGAGTTGCTGGAATTTGTGCTCACTACCACCTATTTCAAGTTTGGCGGACAGTTATAACACCAGAAGTTCGGCACAGCTATGGGTAGCCCCGTATATCCGATTGTTGCCAACCTATACATGGAACATTTAGAACAGACAGCCATCAACACAGCTCCCAAACATAGCAAACCTAGATTTTGGAAACGTTATGTGGATGACATACTAGCGGTGGTTACCAAGGGATCCACACGCAACCTCAATGATCATCTCAACTCAATAGATATGTCCGGCAACATACAATTCACCTCTGAAGAAATGGAAAACAACAGCATTCCTTTCCTAGACATGAAGATTGTGAGCAGAGAAGATGGTACGTTAAAAACCGGGTCTACAGGAAGAAGACCCACACCAATCAGTATCTGAACTTTCAATCTCACCACCCGATAACTCACAAACTGAGAGTCGTCCGCACACTACTAGATAGAGCTAACACCGTTGTAATAGAACCGGAAGATATACGCGCCGAGGAACAAGAGATTCGACACGCACTTCAAAATTGCGGCTACCCTAACTGGACATTCGAAGACACAAAACGGGAAATAAAAACAAAAGCGACCAACAACGAATTGAAAAAGAAGGGTAACGACCAGAAAACAAATGAAAGTGTCAATGACACTGTAGCTCACCACAAAAAAGGACACAAATGAGTGAGTAAGAAGAAG